ATATATACACACATATATATATATATATATATATATATATCCCAAACCCCACTAATAATTCAATTAAACTCTTGCCTTTGAGATGATCGGGTTGTCCATGATAAAGCATCTAGCAACAATTACTTAATCCATCTCAGAGCCCCTTCTAATGTAAGGCTGCTCCCCCGACGCGGGATGTAGTCTCTATCAAAAATATTTGTCAAAACACTTACAAGCAGAAATTTCAGTCTCCTCATCTAATAATCACCAGAATACATGTGTTTGGATTTGTATCCCTCTGCAATGGCAGAGGAGCAGGGAAACCTCAGGGTGCCTATTCCATTCCTTTAAAAGTGTGCTAAAACAGACTTGCCAGTTACCTCAAATCTAAAAACCTGACCAGAAGGTAAATACAATACGATACAACTGAACATCCCAACACCCACCAAAGGATCTCCACCATAGTACTGCACACACCACTTCCTTCCCTACCTACTACCACCAACATAGACATCTCCTTATGGGCCTCCAGAACACCCTGAAGGCGAAGAAATTTGAACTGTTATGGGCCATGGGCACAAGTAAGTCCAAAGATGCTAGGACCTAGAAGATAATGCCCTACCACCTTCTGATCTCTAAACCAGTGAGACCCCAGGTCAGGCATTTCTACTGATGCCAGCTGCAGTGCATCGCTAGTAGATGGGACGGTGCTGTCTTATGCATAAAGTGATATACCTTCTCTTATCCTACTTTCCCTTGCCGTGAAATATATTTTATATGCTACACTAGTGGTCAGCGATGTTTTAAGGCTGTGGGACAGATTGACCCAGTTTGGGTCAGAGGTAGGTTGGTGGGTGGGTAGGAGGGTGGTAGGACCCAGGTGCCACTGCTGCTTTTCTCCACTGGTAGCAGTGGAAAACACCCACCGCTGATGCTTTTCTTTGTTCTTGCATGGGAAAAGCACCTGCCACTGCCATTTTTCCCTGTGCCCACCACTTTTTCCCTGTGCCAGCGTGGGGAAGGAACTGGTTACTGGCACAGGCAAAGCAACTGCTGCTGAAATCCCCCAAGGCCACCAAAGCCTCATGTTTGTAGGCCAGATCGAACAGACAGCTGCCAGTTGCCAACCCATCCTATGCACGTCCTGATCAGGTTTCTCCTAGAAGATTTTGGCCATGCTGTGCCTTGATCCCTAGATATTGAACCCAGTTCCTTTTTATCCATCTTGAACTTGCAGTATTGAATTAGAAGATCCCTAAATCACCTCTATAAAATAGGTTGATATGACATTCTTGCAGACCCTCAGCTCCCCTTACATGTCTCTGTAACTCCCTTGGGTCCTGCTATCTTCTTCCAAATTATCTGCACCTCTTAAATTGATGACGGGATTAGAAAGCAAGCATGATCTCAAATACAGAATGTATAAGATGTAGCAATAATTTCATCCAGAGCTAATAGGTTAGCATGAGCCACGAGCTTTGGACACATACTAAGCCATTAAATACAAAAAAAAGTATCCCAGGGCTAATGAAGCAGAGGGTGAGCAAAGAAGGATCTGATGGTAGAGGGAAAAAGGCAGACCTGTACAAGCACAGCAGCTCTGATGCATCTGTCTCGCAACACAACTGTGAGGGCTCAAGGTCTGGAGATAGCATTGTCTTCCCACAGAAAAGACAACTGTAATTTCTTCACTTGATGCTTCCAATCACAATCCTCTGGTGGGCCTGGCTGCCTCATTGCTGTTTCTTTTGCCAGCATGGCTCTCCTGCCTTCTTTTGACTCTTGAATTCAAATTCTTTAGGCTGGGGTGTCTGCACAGTGATGTGGCTCAGATCCACCCCACAGCATACAACATTATAAAGTATTATATTCCAAATAGAGTATTGTATTAGAGTATTATCTTCCAATAGAAGAGGCAATGGAGGAAGCCAGATCCATTATCCATCCCTGTCGAAGTCGCTGCCTCCTGATTCCAGTTTTATCCAGCGGAGAGTGCTCCCCTCATCTCCAGTGATACCATATAACTAACATCTTTCAGGCCACAACTATCTAACCACCACTGGGACTCGAATCTACACCTCAGTGTGACCCATGTTTAACTTATCTCTACTTGAAGGGATCTAGAGGGTCTGCAAAGTCCTGGAGCCTCACAGAAAATACCCCTACGACTATGGAGTCTGGTCTGAACCTGGAATAGAGCAATGATTTGCAGTCATCAACACATCTGTTTAATAAATGCTGACGTTGTACCTTTCTCAGAACAGACACAGAGGAAAGCATGGCCCACTGCCCAAGGAGCCTGCAGTCTAAATCAGACTGGCAATACAGATCAGATGTACAAGACATGCCAGGGAAGGCTGACACTTCCAGTTATCCTCTCTCTGAATGTAAATATTGCTATAGACAGTGGCAGCAGAAAATAGTTCTTACTTCTCTCGCACCCTTTAACTGTTTTCTCTCCACTTTCTCTCTGCCTGTCCATCCGCACCAGCCTAGCTCTTACCCTCCTTACCGACACACTCCCACTGCAAGTCCCCTGCAGTGACCTCCCCATTCTTTCCATTTATCCACACTCAACTCTGTTCAATCAGCCCATTTGAAACCATCTCAAAGCCCTCAGCTTCCTCTTCCTAGCCCATCTTGACCAAGCACAAACAACCTCCTCCTACCTACCTGGATCAGAATACTTTCCTCCCACTTCCATACTCATTCTCTGTCTGGATTCCTTTTCTTCCTTCCTACCCAACATGTAGCAGCTCAGAAAGTCCCCAGTGATTTACAAGCCCTCTCTGACTCCTCCTTCCCTCTTAGCTCAAGCCCCATCCCTTCAGGCCCGGAAGAATCACCTTTTGGGGTAAAATGCCACTGCTGCAATACTGCATAGCAGTGAGCCTGGGGGACCACATGGACAGGCAGCAGGGAAGGCCTGTATTTGTGGAGTCAATGTATGAGGGCTCCTGCCCTATGTCTGTGCAGCTAATCTGCATTAGCTTCCTCTGCTTATGAGCAGAAGTGTGGGAAAATAGTATGCATGCATTTGACACATTTTACGTGTCCATGCAGCTCCAAAGCATTTTGATTTCAATACCAGCCAAGGGTTTGAATTTATTGTTCACTCCATCCTCCCAAGGTAGAAATCCTTGAGGTCATCATCAGTCTAGTTCCCTGTTGCTTTTCTGCATCTCTCATTTCCTTTAAACCACTCTCCACTCAGCCAAAACATTATTGAGTTTCAGCCACTTTTTTGAGGAGAAAATTAAATTGATTGAAAAAGACCTTGTAAGAAGGCCTCTAAAGAATTTAGACATGAATAAGTGAGACACACCAACCTCTCTCTCCTGCTGTTTGGAAAATTGTATTATTATGCGCAATATTGTCATTATCTCTGCTTCTATTATTACTGACACCAGGAAGTCAAAATCCCTACTTCATGCTAGTTAGAAGTGGACAAAGCTGAGCCAAAGTGTGGCATAGACAGACAACAGAAGCAAGAGCAACTTACCCAGCATCTGAGCTTTTGCCACACAGTAATACATCTGTAGTGCCGTTCTTTATGAAGTAGTTTTCTGCAACAATAAAAGAAGAAAGAAATCATTCATCAGAAACATACTTTCTAATAGGTGCATCTCAGATTAATATGACTGGTGGGAATTATGCACGCAACTACATATATAATAGCAATAGTAGCAATAGTCATTCGGGAACTTATTGGAGCGGTGCCCACTTTAACCAACAGAGAATTTTGCCCATTAACATTATACTATACATAAATAAAATATATATCGACTAGAGTTGGGGTCTGTGGAAGGAAACCTGTCTCCCATGGGTTAAAAACTTAACCAGCTATAAGGAAGTATAAAAAATGTGTTCATAAAGCATCCCTTTCCCCCAGTAATGTGCTTGCGACTCTGTTTAATATAATGAAGACAAATAAAAAGGCAATGACTTCATTATTAAAATGTATCTGTCCAAAACTCAGACAGACATCAAGAAACCCAAATTCAAAGAAACAGAAGTAGGAGGGGAGGTTTAGAAATAAGGGCCCAACAATAGACTTTCCAGGAAAGTGTTAGCACGACAAGGCCATTATCTTTAATCAGGTCTTAATAATAGATGCCTTCTATGAGCAGATGAATGTGGACTCGGATGGATTTCAGATGGGTACAAATGTCACATCCTAACCTAGTCTACAAATGTACCTAATATACCCTGCATTTCATAGCTCAAAGTTTATTCATTATAGTTTATTAAGTGTATTATTATAGTAAATCAGAGTAATTAGGATTATTGGTCATGGACTTTGACCCCACCTTGCTGTATAAACACCAAATAAAACAGGTTCAAGTGCCAAGACACTTTAATTCTAATTGTAAGAAAAAAGATCATAGATTCATAGAAAAGTCGGGCTGGAAGGGACCTCTGGAGATCTTCTAGTTCAGCCCCCTGCCTGATGCAGGACCACTCCTATCCAAACCATCCCACATGAATCCATGTCTAACCTATTGCTAAATCTACAGTCAACCCCATCACACAACCACAAGGCATAGCACCCTAACCTGCCACAGGTAAAGCAGCAGGACAACGGCAGGCAATGTTACAGAGAAATGGGCAAATACAAGGAAACAATTAGACAACATTGGTCAACATGAAAGGCAATGACCTCAGAACCAGCTTAACATCTGTCAGGAGTATTTCCATACAGCATGACAAGGAGAGCTTTGAGGAGAAAACAGGGTAACTTTGTGGGCATTTAGAAAAGCTGCATGGGAGAAAGAACCAAAAGTGCTTAGTTGAACAAGTAACAAGTGGTTGATGGTGGCTGCCTGCTGGAAGACTGGAGGTGGCCTTAAAACATTAAACGAGAGAAGAGAAGTGGGATAAAAATAGATGTGTTCAATGCAACAGAGACGAGAGACAGCCAGTGATTTCCTGCTGACTTAAGACTTGATGGCTAGAAACCTAACTAGCAGGTGCTGTGTACCTGTGTCTCCATTACAGACTAAGCCCACATCAGTAAATGTTTTAAACTCCAAGAACACAAGCTGATAGGCATTTATACACGCTGATATGCAATGGTGCAACTGATTGAACAGAGGTGGTGCCGCTTTCAGAATAAGCTGCGAGCAATGGGCACTCCCTATCCTGACGCCTGTTAAGAGCAACATACCATTGCCCATTTGCTGTGTGGTCCTTGGGCCATGTGCTAGCGTGGACATAGGCTGTCACAGGAAAAAGATGCATCCTGCTCAGACTGTGGCTTTTTGTGCTCATAAAAAAAGGGCTTTCCAAGGAAAGCTCCTGGAATTAGAAACAACTCTATGGTTTTTAACCTGGTTTAACACCTCTGAACAATCTCCTTGACAAAAGGGAGGCAAAGGAAGAGTTGTGTCCTCCATATCCTCTGCCCATTGACAAATCTGCTTTACTCAAGGTGAGACAGCAATGATGTATTCAGCTGGCAACATAATCCCAGTGCACCTCCAGAACAGGGAGTGAATATGGACTGATGATAGGGTAAGAGATATTGCAGCAACTTGCTGGTGTTCTGCAGCCTGTTCACAAACTTTATCACCACATATGTTGAACAATATAAGAAAGAGAATTGGTTCTTGTCAACTGTCCCTTTTCAGAGATCTGGAGACTTTTAAGCCTAGAAAAGGGACTATTAGAACATCACCCCCTGCAAAACGCCCATTGTAGAAACTCCCCCGGTACAGCATGTCTTTCTTTATAGGCATCCAGATTTGCCTTAAGGACAGCAAGGGATAGAGAGAGCATATTACATCACTTGATATTTAATTACCCTTCCGGATAAAAATCTGTGCCTTATTTCTAGTCTAAGGTTACCTTGTTCCAGCTTTAAGACCACCGTGTAGCTGTGATGCACAATTACTCATCCCTACTATTTAACTCCCATTTCCCAGATAGGATTGGAACTGCAGTCCTATTGTCCCTGAGGCAACGAGTCATGGTCAATTTGGTGAAAAGGTGTTGCAGAAAGAGTAACAACATAAAAGAGAAGGAGAACATAGATAAACAGGTCACAGTGCTCTGGATGAGTTTTAAAAACCCAAGAGTACACAAGACTCCATCATCTGTTGTTGACTTAAAACATCTACGTTTCTAAAGCAAATGGCCTGCTAAGTACCAAAAGGCTTAATGAAATGCATGGTGGAGGGTCAGTACTTGGGTACTGCTGACGGGGTGCATCCAAGCAGTGGAGGCCATTCTGCATCGTCATTGTTACTGTTCTTTTGCAAGGTTTGAGTCTGAAGAGAGACTAATAGCCGATTCCCTAGCAATAACTGAAGTGGGTAGGGGGGAGGGTTAGAGCATTATGCTTCAAGAGCCCAATTGCTGTATTAGCAAAAACTCAACCACTGGTCAATTTATCATTCCAAAAAGGCTAGGTTAGTCCTTCATCGAATGCAGAAATAAATATGTTTGTTACAACATTTTTTGGTCACAAGAAAAGAGCTTTTTTTTGTTGTTGTTGGAGAAAAGTTTTTTAATAAAAAGATGTTACCACCTTTCCTAAAATATGTAGTGTGTCATAGAAAAGAAAGCCTGTGGTAGATCTCCACACATAGGTTACAGACAAAATATAGTAATTAATTGAACAGCTGCCCATGGAGTAGCTGAATCACAGTAACTGTCAGCATGCCTGGTCTTATTGCACATTAAGGCCAAGTACAGACATTCAACAAGCCCAAGCATGAACCAACGTAAGTGACGTGGTTTTCTGTAAGTGGCATAATCTAGATCAGTAGCAAACAGAATAGTAGGGGAGAGGGGCAATCTTAGACCAGGTTCTGCCATGTTTAAGCCAGTCTGTGTGTGCTGAATTTCTGTTCTGTTATGGGTATAGACTGGTTTTGTGTGCCAAACTTTTGTTCTGTTAGAGGTATATACTGGTTTCCGATCACTTATACCAGTAAAAGTGTAATGTCCACCATACCTGACCTAAGGGAAAACAAAACCAGGACAACTTAGCCCTCAATAAAACAGGCCTAAGTTACTGTGGTTTAGCTTTAGAGTGGGCACATGGCCAGCTAGCACAAGTCAGCTGCTCTGTGTAAGTACCCATTTTCTTTCAATACATTTTAACTTTTCACTTTTAGGAATTTCCTAGAAGAAGTGTAAAAGATCAAGTATAAAAGAAAAGGTTTAGCAACAGTGGCCCATATCAAAGGATGGTTGGTCATGAGTCACCGGTAGTTTCTTATTTCTATATTTCAGCAATGTCAAACAACAGCTCCAGTTAGTACCTAGTATACAGCATGAACAACAATTTCCAACATCCAGGCTCAAAATTCATAATTCATTTGCCAGTGCCCAGATGCATAAACCTACACTAACATACACTATACCAACACTTATAGTCTTTCTTTGCAATTCCTATGAAGTCTGTGACCCTACCAACAGCCCAGAAATCAAGTTTCTTCAGGCTCAAATTTCAGAGTTGTTGACACAGGAGGAGCTGTGTAAAACACTTGTGTAAAGCAAGTGTTCAGCACGTTTGTTATAGAGTACATTAACAGTGTGGCAACAGCCCAACTAGGCACACTTAAATCTGGCTTTAATTTGGCTAGCATGGTTAACAAGGGACAAAGACAAGATGAAGGCCCTAGTCATGGGCTTTGTATGTTCAGCAGGGACTGTAGGTTTATAACTGGTTTTCTGAAGCCTCTATTGCTGTGCCATCACCGCTACTGTTGCCCATATTCGCTAGATTGGATATAATGGTGCTGACTGGAACGCATCTGTTTTTAGATACGATAGGAAACCTATAGAATCGAGTTGGAAGGGACCTCTTGAGTCATTCTAGTCCAACCCACTGCACAGAGGCAGGATGCACTGATCAAAAACCTTGCCGGTCAGATCCCTGTCCAGCATCTTCTTGAAAACCTCTAGTGAAAGAGATTCCACAACTCTTCCAGAAAGCAGAGGAACCAGACTGCGGATGGAAAAAAAGTGAGTAATCTCATACTAACCACGGACCACAAGAAAAAGGCCAACCCCAGCTCTCAGTGGGTGCATCTCCATGAGATGTTTACTATGGAGCTGCCTAATAAGCTCCTCAGTAAAGTCTCAGCAACTATACGTGTGGCCCTACTAGGCCACAGTAAACTAATAAGCACTAATATAGGGTAGTACTTGTCAGCACACATATTATCCTACAGCGGCATTATTTAGTGTGCCGCAATGCATGTGTAGACGCTGACGGGGCTGGCTGGGGCATGAGGGTGCTTCAGGGTAGAAGCTGCCTGCGGGCTAGCCCTGCACTGAAGCACCCTCATGTCCCAGCCAGCTCCTCTGCAGCATGGTGAGCCAGGCTGGAACAGCCCTGGGCTGGCAGCCCCAGATCCCGTTAACCAGAGCTGCTCTGACCCAGCTCAACATGCTGCGGCGCATGTGTAAATGTGGTGCCCAGGAGCAATAAACTCAGGTGTGAAGTGCACCAGAGTTTATTCAGTCACATTAATCGCACGTGTAGACACACCCAGTGACACCTACAATTCTCTGGAGTAAATCAGTTGAGGGGAGTGGCTCTGGCATACAACAG